AAGTCCGGGCTGAGCCCGCTTTCCCGTGCCGGAGAGGCTGCCGAGCCTCCCCTTTCCTACCAATTCACCTGCTTTTCACGCCCGAAGAAACGCCCTTCCACAGCTCCGGCGCGGGGCGGTCATTCCCCAGCCAGGCTTTTGAACACTAAATTGCAAACTCCGCAGCACCAATCGCATCTGGGTCTGTCTCCGAGAATTCAATAAACAAGCTGTATTAACTCCAACCAGAATTTATCTCGTAGACTGATGGAATTTGTCTTTTTTTTTCTTCTGCTTCTTCTGCTTCTTTTCCCCCCAAGGCCTCATATTCACCACTCAAAATTTAGCAGCCTGCCTTTGATAAATTACTCAAAGTAATCCCTGCAACAGCTAAGTCTGACTGGTTGACGTTGTGTTAGAAGTCTTCATAGCGGTATCTGTCTATAAAATATTCACTTGCGGACTACAAAGGGTGGATCATTTTTAATGACAAGATTCAGAACTGGAGGATGAAGGGAAAAGATTAATATCCGTGAATTCAAATAATTTAATTTCAAATACTGAACTTAGAACATTATATCCGACTAGTTTAAACAGTGATGCAGATAAAATAGCAGTCTCAGATGAATGAAGTGGCCGGAAGAATAGAGTTGCGGGGAATGTTGGAAATGAACATTAATACAAACTTTACAGGAACTTTTCTTTTTTTTTTTTTTTTTTTTTTTTTTTTTTTTTTTTTTTTGTTCTACACCTTTCTATCTTCTGGGATAATCAGTATTCTAGCAGGGGAAAAAAATGTATATGGTATAACACGTACGTGTGTGTATATCTATATACAGCGAGAGAGGTTTTCTTTCCTCTAGAGATAGGTGGAGAAATCTATTTAGATGGTGGATTTTAATTTCAATGGGTAATGTGAGCTTGTGCAATCAAAGTTATCAATTTCTGTCCTTTTTGTTTAGATTTCTTAGTTAAATGTGTTTGTTATATCTACCCCCGAGGAGAAGCAACTTGAAAGTGTAGCTTTTGAGTCATCTTATAAATACATCCCTGAGGCTGCGGTTCTTGCAGCTTTAAGCAGTTTTCATTAAAGCAGCCAGCTGCCTCTTTGTGTAGATTGGATTTTTTTTTAAAGCAATCACTTGTGAAGCCCCGGCCTCAGTTTTGTCTCTCCGCAGGCCCTTAAAGTTGAAGTTTCATTCATGTCTTGGGTCTCTCCACCGAATCAGACTCCTTGGAGCAACACTGGAAAGAGCCACACGAAAGTGCAGGCTTGAATACCTCATAGAAAAAGGTTAAAAAGGAAGCAGAGATCAAAACAATCCCATCTCACAAAAGGTGCATTAAATGCGCCCCAGCAATAAGCACAAATCTTCCAAGTTGGCCTTTAAAAGGGAGCACCAGGAGCCTCACGTTTATTGCACCCAGCAATTCTCTGAGCAGCTCGCCACGTCTTTGCACTCCTGGCGCATTTCCTCCTAAAACAACATCTAATGGGAAGATAATAGAGATGCAGAAAGGAGGCGCGGGGATTTCCCACCACCACCACCACCACCTACCCCCCCACCCCCCCCCCCCCCCCCCACACACACACACACTTACTTTCCTTTTAGCTGCGTGAGTCTCTCTCAAGGCTTTGAGACCAAAGTTTAAACTAAGCTTTTCACCTCTAGACAGAACAGGCGTATGCAACATATATTACCCCCCCTACTAAGGCTCGCCCCCAAGGGCAGGCAAGAGCGAGTGTTTGAAGAGCGCTCCCCCGGCCCGCAGAGCCGGGGAGGCTGATGAGCAGCGGCTGGGAGCCGAAACGAGCCGTGCCCGTGTTTTGCTGCTGGAAATGCAAGCTTTCTCCCCGGCGTGCAGGGAGTCGGAGCGCCGAGGGAGCCCCGTATCTCGCAAGCCGGAGCCCGCTGCAAGAAGCCCGAGGCGGGTGGCGGGCAGGGGACCCACGGGAGACGGGGTGGCCGGGCGTGGGGCGGCCGGAGGGCTCCCGGAGCCCGCCAGCGTCCCTCTGCATGCACCTGATGTGTATGCAGCACCTCGCCTCCCAGCCAGGAGAGAGCTCCAGTTAAGTGGCGCTCTATGTATTTTATAGCGAATATTCTCGAGTAGCTGCACTGCAATGAAGGAGATATCAAGGAGGCCTGTCAGTTCAAAGCTTTTGGGGTTGTTTGAAAATCTTCTTCACGTCAAAGTAAGCAGCCCCGGTATTTGAACAGCTGCTTTGAACAGTGAAAAGGGCTGAGCTGAATCAAAACACTGCAGTGTCTGCCCAAGACACCGCATCACCTTCAACCTGCTTTTATACCAGCAGAGAAAAGGAAAGAAAGGCTGGCGAGACCTCTAATCCCGCGGGGTCAGCTCCGCCAGAAAGGGGCCACATGACTGTCCCTTTCACATCATCCCGGGAGCCCGGGAGCCCGGGCGGCGGCGGAGCGCGGCGGCCGGGCGCTCGCTCCCCCGCTCCCCGGCGCTCCCCTCCACGGGGGGAGACGGGAGCGAAGGCCGCTTAAGGAGCGGTATTAATGACAGGGCTAACAGCGCTGGGGAAGGACGAGGAGGAGGTGGAGTCTCGGCGGGGGCTCTGGATGCGCCGGCCGCGCTCCTCGCCGCTCCCAGCTGCGCCTCCCCAGGAGCGGGGGGGGGGGGGGGGGGACCGGGGGGGGAAGGGGCGAGGGGCTTCGCCGCCGAGCTCGGGGTTTGTCCGCCTCCTCCTCGCTGCTCCGGTGACGGTTGTGGTTCCCCTTAGCCTTCGAGATCTGCCGCCGGCGAGGCGGCGGGGGAGAGGCGCGCAGGACCGTGACCGCAGGCATCGTCACCTGCCGGGCGGCCGGAGGGACGGGGACAAGGTGGTGGTGGCGGGGAGGGGGGGAACGACGACACACGACGTGGTGGGAAAAGATGCACGACCGGGGCAGGGCTCGCAGGGGGTGGGGGGGGGGGTGTCCCCCCTCAAAAAAAAAAAAAAAAAAAAAAAGCTGTGGCTAGAGCTCGCTGACCCCCCGCGTCCCGTCTCCCCGTCGTGGCCAGCGGCGGGGAGCGTGGTGCTGCTGCCCCCACCACCACCCCCCCCCACGGGGACCGGCTGTCCGTGGGACGCGCGCTCGCCGTGGGGCCGGGACGCAAGGGACGGTCACCGGGGGTGAGGCCGTGCTGGCCGAGGCACCGCAGGTTGGAGGCACCCGCGTGAAAATCTAGGACCGCTAACGACGCGTGGCGCGGCCCCTCGTGTCGCGTCCACGCATGAACTTTTGGCCGCCGACCTGGAGGCGGGCTGGAGGGAAAGCAGCCCCCGGCAGAGCCTCGGCGGCCCCGGGAGCGGGGCGGGAGGGCTGGCCCCGGGCGCGGGGAGCCCGGCGGCTCTCCCGGGACGGTCCCCACGATGCTCCGGAGGAAGCCTGCTGCGGACTTGCCCTGTTGTTTTGTTTCAACTCACTGGTCTACACCTAATTGGGAGGAGAGAGACGAGAAAATGAGCAGCAAATTATAAAATTCCCGGGTGCCCCGTTGTTTCCACGCGGGAAACAAAAGGCAGAGCTTCACTTCAGAGGAGCTGACTTCCCTCCCCGAGACACTCGCGGAACAGACAGTATTGTTCTTCCCTTCGCTTGCACCTCGAAGAAAGGGGGGAAAAACATTCTTCTTAGGAAGGATCTCCACTCTTTAATGGACAAAGTTTGTTTCACACACACACACACACACACACACACGCACCCCTCCTCCTCCTCCTCCTTCTCCATCCCTCCCTCCTTCCTTCCCTCCCCACCCCCCGGCAGAAGGAGCTCTTGATACGCCGCTAAACTAACGAAACGAGGTAACTCCTGCTGTGCCCCTTGTCTCAGGGCACTGGATATCCTGTTTATGCTGCTTCTGTGTATATGTTTATGTGCAGGAGCCCATCCCCCCGCTCCTCCACACCCCCACGCAGAGGAATATTTCCAGGCAAGAAGCCTTTCCAGCGCTCACGTTAAATACGATGATTTATAAACAACTCGCAGAAGAAAGCTGTTTCTTGTTAGTAGTAATAAATTCCCCGGTCCGCCCTATTGTATTATTTCGATGAAGATAGCGGGAGCCTGCGACGCGCACCTACCCCCGTGAGCAGTTTATTTTCGAGACAAAGCTATGGCTTCCAGCTCAAAAACGGGCAGTGAACTCTTTTTTCGCGGCGGCCAGCCCGGGCGCTGCTCATTCCTAGGAAATCCGGATCCACTTCCAGGGTCTCCTTCCTTCCTGTCCGGGCCGCAACTTCTTTTTTTTTTTTTTTTTTTTTCCTTTTTTTTTTTCTTTCTTTTTTTTTTTTTTCTTCCCTATCCCCCTCTTTTTTTCTATTTATTTATTTTTTTCCTTCTCCATCCTCCCCCCCCCCACACCACCTCCGCCACCCTCCCCCCCTCCAAAAAATCTTCCGCATCGATGCAGAACCGCCGAGGCGGACCCGTAGGCACCCCCGTCCCCCCCCCGGGACGGGACAAGCGGAACAATTACCACCCCCCTCAGCGCCGAGGTGCGAAGCCCCGACGGAGTGCTGTGCTGCGGGGAGCCCCGGGGGGGGGGGGGGGAGCGGAGCAGGGAGGAGGGGGGCTGCCCGCTCCCCGCCCCCGGGGGCGCGGCGCTCCCCGGACCCCCCCCCCCCCCGGCGGGGCGGCGCTGCCTGCGCTCGGCCCGGCTTGGGAAAGTTGGGGGCGGGCGGACGGACAGACGGACGGGCATCCCCCGCTTTGGGGCGGCACAGCCGGGCTCCGCGCAGAGATCCGCAAGCGGGGCGCGGGGCCCCGGGGCAGGGTGCGAGCAACAGGAGCCGGCGGGCGGAGCGGCGGCCTCCCGCCGGCGGGGCGGGGCGGGGCGGGGCGGGGCCGGCGACAGAGCCCCCCCCCCCCCCTCCCCTCTTCCTTCCCCTCCCCGTCCTCCCCTCCCCTCCCGCCGCCCCCCCCCCCCCCCCCCGCCCCGCGGCCGCCGCTCCCCCGCGCCCCGTTCCCCCTCCGGAGTTGGGTTCCAGCGAGGGGCGGGGCGGGGCGGGGGGGGGGCGTGGCCATAGGGGGGGCGTGGCGCCGCCGTCGGGGCGCGCCAATGGTGGGCGGCGGCGGCGGCGGTCGCCAGGGGCGCCCGCGTCCGTCAGGGCGAGGGGAGCCAATGGTGTGCGGCGGCGGGGCGGGGCGGCCGCGCGTGCCTTCGCAGTGGGCCCCGCCGCGCGGGCCGGGGGGGCGCGGGCGCCGCGCGGCGCCCGAGGCGAAAAAGTAGCTGTCAAATGCGCGGCGCCTTTAACCGGCGCGATCAGTGCGGCTCGGCGAGTCATGGCGACCGCAGCCTCCAACCACTACAGCCTGCTCGCCTCCGGCTCCCCCATGGTGCACGCCGAGCCGCCCGGCGGCATGCAGCCCGGCGGCGGCTACCGCGACGCCGGCGCCCTGGTGCAGGCGGACTACGCGCTGCAGAGCAACGGGCACCCGCTGAGCCACGCTCACCAGTGGATCGCGGCGCTGTCCCACGGCGGCCCCGGCGGCGGCGGCGGCGGCGGCGGCGGCGGCGGCGGGGGCGGCGGCGGCGGCGAGGCGCCCTGGGCGGCGGGCGCGCTGGGCCAGCCCGACATCAAGCCGGCGGTGGTGCAGGCGGGCGGGCGCGGCGACGAGCTGCCGCCGCCGCCGCCGCCGCCGCCGCCGCCGCCGCCGCAGCACCCTCCGCCGGGGCGGGCGCCGCACCTGGTGCACCACGGCGGCGGCGGCGGGCACCACGCGGCGGCGGCGGCGGCGGCGGCGGCGGCGGCGGCGTGGCGGGCGGGCGGCGCGGCGCACCTGCCGCCCGGCATGGCCGCGGCCAACGGCGCGCAGGCGGGGCTGCTCTACTCCCAGCCGCCCGGCTTCACCGTCAACGGCATGCTGGGCGCCGCGCAGCCGGCCCTGCACCACCACGGCCTGCGCGACGCCCACGAAGAGCCGCCGCCGGGGCCGCCGCACCACGGCCCCGAGCACCCGCCGCCGCCCCACGGCCCCCACCCCGGGGCGGCCGGGCCGACCCCCGCCGCCGCCGCCGCCGCCGCCGCGCCCCCCGGGCCGCCGCCGCCGCCGCCGCCGCACCACGACCCGCACTCGGACGAGGACACGCCGACCTCGGACGACCTGGAGCAGTTCGCCAAGCAGTTCAAGCAGCGGCGCATCAAACTGGGATTTACCCAAGCGGACGTGGGGCTGGCGCTGGGCACCCTCTACGGCAACGTCTTCTCGCAGACCACCATCTGCCGCTTCGAGGCCCTGCAGCTCAGCTTCAAGAACATGTGCAAGCTGAAGCCTTTGTTGAACAAGTGGTTGGAGGAGGCGGACTCCTCCTCGGGCAGCCCCACCAGCATAGACAAGATCGCGGCGCAGGGCCGCAAGCGGAAAAAGCGCACCTCCATCGAGGTGAGCGTCAAGGGCGCGCTGGAGAGCCACTTCCTCAAGTGCCCCAAGCCCTCCGCCCAGGAGATCACCTCGCTCGCGGACAGCCTACAGCTGGAGAAGGAGGTGGTGAGAGTGTGGTTTTGTAACAGGAGACAGAAAGAGAAGCGCATGACTCCCCCGGGAGGGACGCTGCCGGGCGCCGAGGACGTGTACGGGGCCAGCAGGGACACGCCGCCGCACCACGGGGTGCAGACCCCCGTGCAGTGAACTCGCGGCGGGGGCGCCCGGCCCCTCCTCCTCCTCCTCCTCCTCCTCCTCCTCCTCCTCCTCCTCCTCCTCCTTTCCTTCCCCCAACTTTTGATTGTCCTCCTTTTTTTTTCTTTTTTTTTTTTTTTTTTTTTTTTTTGGCGTTTGTTTTGTTTTGTTTTGTTTTTTTAAATTTTCTCCTATCTTTAAAGAAAAAAAAAAAAGACAAAAAAACTAAAACAACGATTAAAAAAAAAAAAACCGCGCAAAAAAAAAAAGAAAAAAAAAAAAAAAAGAAAAGAAAAGAAAACAAAAAGCGAGCGAGCGAGAGGGCGAGCGCGAATCACAGCAGACAGACAGACAAAGCACCTGCACCGGACTGTCCCTTAGCCGGCAGCAGGTGCGATGCTGTATTTTTGACCTTTCCAGGCGAGTGCCCGTGCACCGGAGTGGAGTGGGTACGGCGCGCAGGCAGGCAGGGACCGGCGGGGGGACCGGCAGGGCAGCGGCAGGCACCGGCAGGGCAGGCGCAGGGCGAAGCGGTTCGCACAAAACTCCCGTGGCTCGCTGGTGAAAAAAAATACGGCGCTGCCCGGCCGGGGAGGGGGCGGGAGGGGAGGTGGGGGGGTGGTGTGGGGGGTGGTGGTGGTGTGGGGTGGGGGGGTTGGGGTGGGGGAGGTGGGGGGGGGGCCGCAGCCACCTCGGGTCCCCTCCGCAGCCCCCTCCCGCCACACAAAGGCAGATTGCATTGTGGAATGTCGCTCGGTGTTGGCACATGCTGCTGTGTTTATTTTCTGTGGATCCCCTGTAGGAATATATGAAAAAAAAAAAAAAAAAAAAAAAAAAGAAAAAGGAAAAAAAAAAAAAAAAAAGAAGAGAAAGGAAAAGCTATCCCTTTTGATGTAGACAGTATTTAACCGTACCAATTTGCACTGCAAGAAAATCGAAGTTTACATAAACAAATTCTTTTTGTTTTTTCTTTTTTTTTTTTTTTTTCCTTCCTTTCCGACCTTAATTTTGCAAATGACTTGCATTTTCCACGGTGAGCGTTAGTCAACCAGTGACCGGTCTACGATATGTTACTGTGTTTTAGCCTTTGCTTTATGTGTATATGTGAACTTTTGTTATAAACAAGTCTTCTTAAATATGTGTAACGCTTATTTTCTCCTTTTACCGTAGCAAAAAGTATGCGTATATCTGTATGTATGTATACATATGCATGCGTGCATAGACGTACATATGTACACATATATGTAATCTCTCTATATACACATATATATGCACCACCAGGTTCCATTCTCCAGAGACGTGACTCTCGTAATTGCTTAATAGACGCCTTCAACGGCAAGAGTCGAGTTTGGAGAAGGGAGAATAATGCAAATCGACAAAGTAAACTTCATTTTCAGGCAGTGTGTCCGGGGGCCGAGGCGCAGCCAGAGGGGGAGGAAAAAAAAAAAAAAAAAAAAAAAAAAATATCTGCAGCCCTTCCAGATTGTGTCAGTGCGGGTGAGCAAGGCCCGGTGTGGGAAAGGCAGAGACGGAACAACAGTTTTGCTGGAGAAAGTGGCACTTCCTTGAGAGGGAAAGGGGATTATTTAGCTTCAACCCCCCTCCCCAGCCCCCTTCCCTTCCCCTCCTCTCCCCCCCCCCCCCCCACCCGAGGCTCCCCCCGCGTGCCTTTGGCATCCCCGCTCCCACTGCCCGGGCCGATGGCAGCCCCCAAACTTTCTTTCCTTGAGCAGTTTCGCATCAAGGCAGAGCCAGGGAGAGCCCGAGGAGCTGTGGGCCCGGGGGGGGGGTGGGGTGTGTGTGCCCGGGCGCTTACACCTGCGTGGAAACCCACGCTGCCCCCTCCTCTCTGCAGAGACCGTGTGCGTTTCTTTTTCGCTTTTACTTTTCGTATTTATTCTTTTTCTATTTGTATCTAGCCCTCCTCCCCCTCCCCCCCCCCCCCCCCTTTGGTCAGATTGCGGTATAATTTATTGAAGGAAAGGACCAGTTTTAACTTGGGCAGCCTTGTGTCTTTCACTGGGGAATGAAATGAAGTGGGAAAAAAATATATATATATATGCCATTTTTCAATCCGTCTTTTTTCCCCCCCTTCGTTAATAGTTTTAAAGTGCATTTCGTGACATTATCTCGATGGGAAACGGTTAACTTTCAAAAAAAAAAAAAAAAAAAAAAAGAGAAAAACCCACGGGGACAAAAAAAAAAAAAAAAGGAAAAAAAAAGCAAAACAAAAAGCTCTAAAGGGAAGCAGAGGAGCGGGACCTCGGAGCAGCGCATGTATGTGCGTGTGTCTGCGTGCGTGTGTTTGTGTACTTATGCACACACACAGCTATGCATATACATTAGAGGAACTTTATGATAGTTATAAATTCATAAAGGGATCATTTAGTCAGCACAAACGGGTGCTATAGACAAAGCATTTTTATAATCGAAAAGTTTACTTAGTTGAGTGTTGGACAATTATGGAGAAAAAACAGTGAAGCATTCTCTCGCAGAACTCTCCTATAAATATTGCATTCAGTAGCTAAGGCTTTAGAGTATGTTTCTCATTGTCTTTTAAAGCGCCTGTGACATTGGGTTTTCTTTCCTTCTTTCTTTCTCTCTCCCTTTCTTTCTTTCTTCTTGGTAAGACAGATGATGATTTCTAAGAGGCACATGCATTAGCCTTTTTCCTAGTTTTCCAACAATTGTTACAAAGATACGGGCACCAAGCTTTTCTCTTTTCTTTTCTTTTTTTTTTTCCCCCCCCTTTTTTTTTTTTTTTTTTTTTTTTTTGATGTATTGAGCTGCTTGTTATTTAAAGTGTTGAGGACTAGCGCCTAGTGAAGTGAATCAGATCAGGGCAGATCCAGTGGTAAAGGGAGGAAATGAACTTTCAGACACTTATTAATACGTGCGTAAGGTCAGAAAACGGAGTCGAGAGGACGTTTGAGAAAAGCCTCAAACTCCAAATAGGTTTACTTTTTTTAAAAAAAAAAAAAAAGTTACCACGCAAACCTTACCACTATGTATATATGTTTAATATTTGTCCTTTGAAATGCAGAAATAGTTTCAATGTTTTCTTTGTCTATTTTTCTTTTTCTTTTTTTTTTTTTTTTTAAATGCTACCCAGGGAAATATTTTCATATCATTTTTAAGTGGCCTGCCTCAATGTATATTTATTTCTTTTAAAGCAAACAGGTTCTGGAAACTGTTTTTCTGTAGCTTTAAATGAGTAGGTGAACAAAATCTATATGGGATGTAATTTTTTTTTTTTGGTTCAGTCTCTTTAAAAATACTTTGTTTTGGTACATTTGGATGTGCTTGTGGGGAAAAATAAAAACGCAGAGATCCTTATATATTTATGTTAAAGTAATATTTTATTATCTACATAAAACAGAAATGCACAATACCTTCATAGTTTGTTCTAATTATTGAAATATCTTTATTTTATTTTTAAAGATAGCACAGATTTGCATAGTTCTTAAGATTTGGAGGGAGAATACCCCAGTACTTATACTGAGTTGAGTTCTGTGTAAAAGCACCGCCATTCCTTTATATTTCATGGAATTTTTGGAATAAATTTGATGCCTATACCGAGAGGTTCCACGCTCATAACTTCCAGGGTCTTGAAGGAGAGCTTCAGGAGCTGTGCTCATTGTGTGTGCCCGCAGCCGAACCGCAGCCGTGTGTTTTGGAGCATTGATTTCTGTGCGGGTAGGGGTGTCCTGCCTTTGATGCTGGTGAGGAGATCCTCAAGTTAGTTGCATGTTCTGGCGGAAGGCGTGGGGGAGAAAAGACTCTCTCCTCGTTCCCTTTTGATAATTGAAGGTCTGACTCCTTCAAAAAAAAAAAAAAAAAAAAAGGGAAAAAAAAGAAAAAAAAAAAAAAAAAAAGAAAAACAAAAAGGCGGGGCTTAATTATGGGGAGTACTGTTTAAAAGAGGGAGGAAGGCTCCGGCTGGGCAGCGGGGCTGCGCACCCCCGGGGCGGGCGGGGGCTCCCCGGGCCCCGCGGCGGGACCTGCCCCTCGGGCGGCCGCGGCTCCACGCGTGGAACCGCCCGGCCGGTTTTTACACCCGGAGGGGTCCCGGCGTGGGAGAGGCATCCAAGCCAGCGGTGCTCTCAGGTGCGGCGGTGTGCTCGGGTCCTTTTTGGCTGGCTCCGTTTCCTAAGTGCAATGTCCTGCTCTTCTCCCTCCTTTCCCCCCTCCAACCCCAACCCCACCCCACTCCCACCCCCCCCCAACCTCCCTTCACCATAGTTTCTTGGCTTATTAGATTTAATCATCTTTTCTAACTCCTAGTCAATATTACACTCATCCCGAACAGATTCAGCTAAATGATCTTATCAATAGTTTCGAAGAGAAGTGACAGAAAGAAGAAGTGTTTTGTGACCGCAGACGTGCTGACGGGTAAAATGTTGAAGCCGGGTATGGATTTAAAAGTCCGTGGTCAATAGCCCGCGGATTCGGCTGCGGAAAGCGGGCAGCCTCTGCCCTCTGCAGGACACTCGGGTGGGCGCCGGGGGAAAAATATTTCGCCTTTGACGACAGGGCCCTGCTATCGCCGAGCGCTCCCGTGTCGGGTGAACTGGAGGTGACTCGGGTGGACGGTGCCCTTGCTCGGCGGGGCAGGCCCGGCGCCTCGGGGATGGTCGCCGAGAGCCGGGGGCGGGGCGGGGCGCCCCGTCGCATCCCGGGGGGCCGGGCCGCTGGTTGTGGGGGACACCCCCCACACACACCCCCCCACCCCCCCACCCCCCCGGGCAGCTCCTCCGGGGCTCTTTGCCCAGCGAGAGGCTGACCAGATGCCAGCCGCTTCGCTCGCCCTTCCCGGCTGGTGGCAGGGAGGCCGCCCGGCTGGGGGGTCGTTTCCCTTGTTTCCTTCTAGCTCTCTTTTAAGAGAAAAAGAAGAAGGGAAAACGGAGCATCTGTAGGGTGCGCTTTCTGCAGGTGGATGTCGGGGTGCGCGGCAGATCCCTGGGGTCCGTCCGTCCGTCCCTCCCCCCCCCCCCCCCCCCCCCCCGCCGCGTTCCCAGCAGGGCCTCTCTGTCGTAGGTCAGATGTCAACAACAAAAGCCCTATTTCCTCGGCTCGCTCCCTCTGATGGAGGCCGAAACTGGAAGG